TATATATATATATATATATATATATATATATATATATATATATATATATATATATATATATATATATATATATATATCTGGTTCTCATTACTATTAAAAAAATCTTCAGGGATAATCTTCTCACAGGTATAAACCTGGAACTATCAGGATTTTCTAATGATTTCCAGCTCATAAAAATTATTATAATATTGAAAAGTCATGAAAATTTGGTTAGTCATGGGTTAAATAATGCTCAGCTCTAAAATAATTAATTGGCTAGAAATTGCTCAAGCATGCAATCTCTACAAAATGCTATGTATACATTCTGCTAGTGTTTGTTGTACTGCATTTAATTTATGCAAATAAAAAACAATAAAAAGGTAAATCACGCCATGCACGAGAATATGGCGGTAACGTTCTCAATTGTCATGAAAAATGCATAATAATGCAATAAAAAACACTAATGGCCATTAAACAGGCTTCATTTTCTTCATCCAGCTTTTAATTAATTTTGTGATAAAATGTGACCTGGACGTGTTTTTGTGTAACTTTGGTATTTTGGTGGAAACTGTCACCATGGTAACAAAATTTTAAGGGAAGTTCTCAGTATTGCATAGCTTCTTAGTCTTCGTTTTGCAGTTTTGTTCCAGTATTGACTCATCTGAAGTGGTAGGTTTCGTAGCTCGACCCGTAAAGCATCCACCTTCAGCTCTCTGTTCTTGGTTTACAGTAAATTGTATCATTAGATGTGCACAGCACACCCTGTTCGTTACCTAGTGCCAGTTATTTCAGAGAGCAGCAGGGTATCCGCTTTTCTCCAGACCTTCATCACCACTGTCTACATCACTCACCCGTTACTACTAGCAACCACACTTTGCTTTTATAAAGCGCTCTCCACCTTTCCTTTCTGCTTTCTCATCTTTTTAAATGCAAGGGTGTCTTTACAAGCATCAGGATTCATTACCAGATCATTTCAGCTGGTTGTTTTCTTCTGTTCTTTAGTAAAGTAAAGGGCTTTTGTCCCTACATTAACAATGTTTTTGGTCTAAGAAGCTTTCAGAAACATGACTCCGTTTAAAGTAAAGGTAAGTGCTCATGAAGATGTTGTTTTTGTTGCAAAATTAACTGCTAAATCAGAAGAATATCTGAAGGGGATATTCAGACTTTAAAATCTTACTCTTCTCTTTAGGTTATTTATCTTAATAGCTAATACATGTCTTTGTTAGCTTTTCTAAAGGTAAGTGCTCATGAAGATGTTGTTTTTGTTGCAAAATGAACTGCTAAATCAGAAGAATATCTGAAGGGGATATTCAGACTTTAAAATCTTACTCTTCTCTTCTCTTTAGGTTATTTATCTTAATAGCTAATACATGTCTTTGTTAGCTTTTTATAATAGCAAAACACTAATGTTTAAAAAAATAGTTGTTTTTACTCTTTTTGTTAACTTTCCATTAAGTTTGGCTTGTTTATGTTTTTGTGTTAGTGGTTTAATGAAAACTAATCTCATTTGTCTCGTATAGATATAAACTAATTAAATGAAATGTTTTATTAAGCTCCTCCATCTAATGAACTTCACTTCATTCAAGACAAGTAATGTAAACCACATGAAATCGTTTTTACTCCTTGTGTGGACTTTTTTTCTATTTTTTTGTGGTTTAATGAACTACTTGACAAGGTGTCATTTTGTCTGTTGTAGGCCGTCTGAACCTGCTCTTCTGACTCCTAGCACCTCTGAACCCAGCTCTCTGCCCCGTGTGTCGAGTCGCAGCTACGACCTTCAGGAGAGACGTCGCACGGGCAACATGACGGGGACCGAGCAGGCCAAATACCAGCGGATCCCCACCGATGAGTTTGAGGCACAGACCCTGGCCTCGGCTGACCTCGATGGCATTAAAAGTGAGTTTTTAATGCACGTACCCAGTGGGATCCATCTCTACATTATTTGTCTTAGGTTTGGTGGGAAATCTTTAGGTACCGACTACTTTGATTCATTCATTCATGAAACTAGCATGTCTTGGAATAAATTAGTGTGAAAAAATGCTATTATTCCTTAGGTTGTATTTTTTTTTCTGCTATAACTTTCCATAAAGGCTTGCCCACCAACTAATGATATTTTATTGAAAGCTTCTAGATTTGAAATCTCAATAGTTCAATACATTTTCAAATGAAGCTGCCATCTTTAGTGCTATGGTTAACGTAAACAATGATTTTGTATTTGCATATTAAGTTGTAGATGCTTTTATTTAGAGTTAGTTATACAAGGCATCATTTTATCAGTTAATGTACATGCTTTTGACATTCCTTTGCATAAAAAGCTAATGCAATGTTCAAAAGTTAGGGGTCAGCAGGATTTTTTGTTTATTAATACTTTTATTTAACAAGGATCATAAAATGATTTAAAAGTGATAGACAATTATGTTACAAAATAGTGAATCTTATAACTTTCTATTCATCAAAGAAGCTTAGAAACAAAATATCAATATGAAGCAGCATAACTGTTTTCAACAGAGTTAATAGAAAATGTTTCTTGAGCAGCAAACCAGCATATTAGAATGATTTCTGAAGGATCGTGTTACAATGATGCTGAAAATCCAGCTTTGATCACAGGAATAAATTACATTTTTAAATATATTACAATAGAAAATGGTTATTTTAAATTCTAATATTATTTCACAATTTTGCTGTTTTTACTTTTTATACCAAATAAATGCAGTCTTTGTAAGCATAAAAACTTTTCATAATTAGTTTTTGGCTTTTTTACTTTATAAACAGTGATTTATTTGGGTAGTTCTTGTTTTGATGTGTTTCTAACTATTATATTAGCAAGTAAAGCACAAATCCATGACCTGGTCTTCTGGGATCGCAACATCTAGAAGTCAGAGTTACTTTATAAACAGTGATTTATTTGGGTAGTTCTTGTTTTGATGTGTTTCTAACTATTAGCAAGTAAAGCACAAATCCATGACCTGGTCTTCTGGGATCGCAACATCTAGAAGTCAGAGTTTCCACTAGTTTCATAGTCTCTCAGGTGATTTGTACCAAGCATCCTGCTACACTTCACAGCAAGAGTCTTTTGTGGCCCAGCGGGACAAACCTTTATCAGACTTCAGCTGTAAATCAGCGGTTCCTGTAATGTACCCCATCAGCTTTCTCCGTCTTGCTATACAGGCCACTAATTAGTCTGGGGAAAAGGCCCATCTGCTGCTATATGCTCGGCAAACAGGACTTACACAGTTTCTGTGGATGTTAGAACCTCAGTTCATAGACAAAAACAGTTAATCAACAAGTTAAACTTTGCTTGACCAGCATGTTTCAGTCGCTGTGAGCTCTCATCTGTCATTGCAAATCACTGTCAGGGTGTGAATGCCTTTTTTTGAAGTTTATATAAGTATGGGAAAGTGAATTTCAATTCGCTCCGTCTAGCAGTGTGAGAAAAGGCTTGGCCTCTCTTCTTGATTGGAGTTTGTTCCTACGCTCAGCCTAGTTAATCAAAATCCCCCTAAATTCCCTCCCTGACCTTTTTATCCTGAATGTCTTTGGCAACTTGCACATCCTGTAATTTCACCCTGATGAGCGTTGTGTTATGAACAAAGGCGATGACCTGCCTCTCAACCCTGCCAATGAGATTTTACCTAATGAGTGGTCATTTGACTGATTTGAATACTGCAAGTACATGTATCCTGGGAGAAATCCATCTAGAATGAAAATCTGAAATATTGTATAGTACAGCGCAATGTTTTGTAATTTTGAATGTGGTACATAATTCAAGGTTGTAGTATATCAAAAGTTTGTGGTAATAAATATATTTATTTATAAAAAAATATATATTACATATGACATTTTAAATATTTGAATGAAAGTAATGCTTTTATTCAGCAAGGATGTATTAAACTGCTCAAAAATGACAGTAAAGATATTTATAATGTTACAAAAGATTTCAATTTTTAATAAATGCTGTTCTTTTCCTTGAAGGGCATGAGAGACGTCTTTTAAAAACACAAAAATCATACACAACACATTCCTACAGCCTTTTACTTAAATAATATGCATGTTTTTATTGTTTTATTCTTCCAGGTCATCGTTTTGAAGATGTTCCTGGAGTACGTCGACACCTGGTCAGGAAAAGCACAAAAGGACAAGTGGTGCACATCAGCAAAGATCACAAAGAGCCCAGCACACGCAGTCGCAAACTAGACCGGACGCCACATGAGGTCAGACACCTGTTCACAGATGCTAGCTTCTTGGTTTCTCTAGCTTGGCTGCTAGTTGACGTCTGTAGTTTGGTGGAAACTAGTCTATTAAGCCTGTCTGAACTCCCAAGGTTTATGAAAAATCTGAAAAATATATTTAAATAAAAACGTTAAGCCTGTAAATAAAATGATATGTCTAATATATAAAAATAAATAAGAAAAATGTATGTATAAATATTTATTTAACAATAATAATTATTATTATCAACAAAAAAATAACATCTTGTATAAAAAAGCTCTTTAAAAATGAAATCCTTATCCAGTAATCATAAACAACTGGATCACTGAAAAGTCATGGATATTAATTTATCGAATACTACAGGAATCCTCGTGTAATTTGGTCACTAATTAATGGACATAAATGCTTGTTTAAGGTGTAGCCGAATGTTCTGTGGGAATGTTTTAGTGCCATTCCCTCTAGCTGGGATATCGGGACGAATTTGTCAGGGTTAGGTTCAGATGTCTTTACAGATGGCTCTACAAAGTCTTGATGGGTTTTCCAGCACATTTAGTCCTTTTCCCAGATTGAGACTCATTCACTGCACCACTTTATTTCAGACAAGCCCGCTGCCCTTCAAAACAAATGAAAGGAGGATTTTAGGGGGCAGGACCTGATTAAAAATGAATGAACTTCTTCCCTTTCACACACCTAGAAATAAAGAAAAGATCAGCTCAGGTAACTGGACACGCAAGCCTTCTGAGTCAGCCATGTTTTATTAACACCCTCAGATCCAAACCAGCAAATGAGTGTACTTACGGACCGTTTGACTTCTAAATAACACCAGTGGGTGTTCACATCTCATCAGTCAGTCCTGCTCTAACGGCATGGTCCTTTTAGACTTTTCCAGACGGCTTGCTCAACACCAGAAGGTCAGGAAATGATGTGTTGGTGTACATACACATGTTGGAGGCATCGATTGGTGTGTGATATTATGTTTTAGGCAGATCAAACCAATGTTAACTTAAGTTACCTGAAGTGAATAGCGGGCGTCTGTTGCTCTTTGGGTGTTGTAATAGCGTTTTCTTCACTCATTTATTGCATGTTCTTTGGCACCAGGTGTTTGTGGAGCTGAATGAGCTGATCATGGATAAAAACCAGGAGATGCAGTGGAGAGAAACGGCTCGCTGGATCAAGTTTGAAGAGGATGTGGAGGAGGAGACGGACCGCTGGGGGAAACCTCACGTCGCCTCGCTGTCGTTCCGCAGTCTGCTGGAGCTGAGAAAAACCATCTCTCATGGTGAGAAACCTGCTTAAAAGTCTTAAGTGCTTTGTAGTTAAGAGCAAATGTCAGGTTACAGCCCTTAGCAGTAACACTTTATATTTGCGATATCATTTGATAATTAATATTTGCAGTGTTTGCATAATTAATTGCAAAAGCACAATAGTGTCATGCTACGTGATGTGCAATGTTTCTAAAACGGTTTTAAACTGCTATTTATATATAATATCTGTATTAATTGAGAGACTACAAGCAAAAAAATTTACTATTTAAACTTCAGAAAAGTTGAAAAGGGAGCAATAATGTGGATTATGTATACAAAATTATAATTGTATATATAATATCTATATTAATTGAGGGACTACAAGCAAAAAAAATTACAATTTAAACTTCAGAAAAGTTGAAAAGGGAGCAATAATGTGGATTATGTATACAAAATTATAATTGTATATATAATATCTATATTAATTGAGGGACTACAAGCAAAAAAAATTACAATTTAAACTTCAGAAAAGTTGAAAAGGGAGCAATAATGTGGATTAGGGATACAAAATGATGTACTATTAAAATAAATATTATGGACAAAATATGGATTTAAAAAAAAACTTCAGAGAATTGGTGATCACTCACAAAACCTAGAATATAAACATACCTACATATACCCATGTATACAAAATTTTTATTTTATATATAATATCTATATTAATTGAGGGACTACAAGCAAAAACAATTACAATTTAAACTTCAGAAAAGTTGAAAAGGGAGCAATAATGTGGATGATGTATACAAAATTTTTATTTTATATATAATATCTATATTAATTGAGGGACTACAAGCAAAAACAATTACAATTTAAACTTCAGAAAAGTTGAAAAGGGAGCAATAATGTGGATTAGGGATACAAAATGATGTACTATTAAAATAAATATTATGGACAAAATATGGATTTAAAAAAAAACTTCAGAGAATTGGTGATCACTCACAAAACCTAGAATATAAACATACCTACATATACCCAAATTAATTATTCATGTGATTTTAATCTAAAATCTTAATGTTGAAAAATTAATTAACATAGGTTTTTAGTGTATTTTGAACAGACTTTACTATATGCAGATTAAGAAATGCTGATGTAATATTTCTGCATTTTCAGTTTTCATTTTAATTTGAAGCTTTAGTAATTTTGTTGTGTTTTTATTTATTTATTTATTTTTGCTGTTTTTTTATATATATCTATGTAGTTGTTTTAATTTCTATTTTAATTTTAGTTATTTTAATACATCAGTTAAACTAAATGAAAATGAGAAAAGTTGCTCTGGCATCTAGTTGAAATAAAATAGGTTTATATTTTGTTTATGCTTATTTCGGGTATAGAAATTGTATTGTTTTAGATTGAACTTGAATAGTTAACTACAACAACCCATATTGTTATTATATTGATTGCATCAATGATAATGAAGATTAAATGGCCTCATGTTTGGTTTCTCTCATTAGGAGCTGTGCTTCTGGATTTGGACCAGAAGACTCTTCCTGGTATTGCCCATCAGGTGGTGGAGCAGATGATCATCTCAGACCAGATCAAAGCTGAGGACAGAGCCAATGTGCTCCGTGCTCTTCTCCTCAAGCACAGGTAGAGCTCGGATTTTTATACAATGAGCAATATCTAAGAAATGGCGCATGAGAATTCTGGTCTGTTTTCATCTGTTTATTCTCATATAATCTATTGATTTTTATTCTACACCATTCGCCATACCCCGTATGTAGATCCATACATGAACCGTCGCAGTCTCTCCTAGTGTCTCTTACCCGCTGGCTCCCTTGCTCTCCCTCCCTTAGTCACCCGAGCGATGAGAAAGAGCACAGCTCCTCCTTCCCCAGAAACATCTCAGCGGCCAGCCTGGGCTCCCTGATCAGCCATCACCAGAGCAGCAGCAACCACCTGTCCCCTGTCCCCGAGCCCTCCGTCACAGAGCCACTCATGGGGTCCACAAGGAACAGTCAAGACAGCTCACTTCACATTGACATAGAGAAGAACGAGGTAATTGGTTGGAAGTGTATAAACTGGCTTTTGTTTTAAATGAGAATGGCATGTTTGGCAACCTATTTATATTGTTTTATATGTATTTATTTGTTTACTTTGCCTTTTACAAAAATATGTATAATATACACTACTAGATATTTGGAATAATTATTTTGAATGTTTTTTAAATCCTCTTATTCTCACCAAGGTTGAATTTATGTAATAAAAAAAACAGTAAAAACAGTAATTTTGTGAAACATTATTACCTTACTATTATAAAAAGAGAAGTTATTTTGAATTATAATGTTTCACAATATTACTATTTATTGTTCAAATAAATGCAGCCTTGGTGAGCAGAAGAGACATTAATTATTTCAAACTTGTAACTGGTAGTGCATCACCTAACAATTATTTTTTTAAATTAAATTATTTGTAAAAAATAATAATCAACATCAAAAGAAAACAATGCATTTTTTCATTTGTAAAGTACAGTAACAAGTATACGTCACGGTGTTTTGCTGATTTTAAATATATTATTATATTATATTGTGTTGTTCATTTTTTTTGTTTATTTTATATTATCATTATTTTATTTTATTATTATTTTTTTTGTATTTTGGAGTGAAATATGATGTTTGTTTGTGAAATGTACTAACAATATTTTTTGCTGCTTGTGTATTGGTGTATTGGTTTTTAATGTGACATTTCCCTCTAAATTTATCAAAAAAATGTATCTCTTCAAATCTTCTGTTTTTTTTCCTGATTGTTGTTCTTTCATTATTTGCAGAAAGATTCTGCTCCACCCATAGGAATGCACAGATCCAAATCCAAACATGAACTTAAGCTTCTGGAGAAAATTCCAGAAAATGCTGAAGCCACTGTGGTACTCGTTGGTAAGCAATTATAGTCTGATTCTGAATCCTATAGGAATCCTGTTGGATTTGTATCATTCTGGAACAGTCCTAAAGGTCTCAAATAAGACTCCTTTAAAACTCCTAAATAATCTGGAATTTGGAAAAATAAACTGGAAAAATATGAATTTCAGTTTATCCTGTTTAAACGGTTAAGAATTGGTTGTACATTACTACTGATTTGATTCCAAATCAACCAGATGCATCAGGAACTAAAATGACTATTACAGAGCTAACAAATGATTTCACAGAACTACAGGAAATTAAATGTATTGCTGTCTTTTCAGGCAGTGTTGACTTCCTGGAGCAGCCCACCATGGCATTTGTTCGACTTCAGGAAGCTGTCGAATTGGACTCAGTGTTGGAGGTACCGGTTCCTGTTCGGTTTCTCTTTGTGCTGCTTGGTCCTCCCAGCACCAGCATGGACTACCACCAGATCGGACGCTCCATTTCCACACTCATGTCCGACAAGGTGAGAAAGACGGTTGGCGGTCACCACTGCACTAGTTCAAAGGGGATGGATGCATTGTTTCATGCCAAAAATTCTGAATATAATACCTATATCCAGTGTTAACTCGATCGCATCTCTCTCCAGCAATTTCATGAAGCTGCGTACCTGGCAGATGATCGGCAGGACCTGCTCAATGCCATCAATGGCTTCCTGGACTGCAGTATTGTTCTCCCTCCATCAGAACTAGGCGGTGAAGATCTTCTGCGGTCCGTCGCTCACTTCCAAAGAGAGATGCTCCGCAAGAGAGAAGAGCAGGAGGTGGCCTTATTGTCCAAAGAACCCAAGAGCCTTGAAGAGAAAGGTATGCATTAACCTGTGTAGCTTTAGATCCAGTTCAGCTTTTATTTTGGTTTTGTTTTATTGCTTTGTGTTTTTTTGTGTTTGTGTGTGTGGTGTTTTTTTGTTTGTTTTCTTTATTACTTTTTTAGTTTTTTTTGTTATTAGTGTTTGTTTTTGTATGTTTTTTTTTTTCCTTTTTGTTGTTTGTGGTTTTCAGTTGTTGTTGTTTTTTTCCGTCTTATGTGTTTTGTTTTGAGCATTTTTGTTTTTCTTTTGTTTTGTCTTGTTGTTTTCTTTTTTGTTATTAGCGTTTATTTTTTGTTTATTATTTTTTGTTATATATTTTGTTTGTCTTTTGTGTATTTTTTTTGTCATTTTATGTAGACATTTTGTTTTGTATGGGTTTTTTTTTTATTTTGCTTTTCCTTGTAATTTTCGCTAGCTTTTTTATATTAATTTTTTTTTTGTGCGTGCACATTGTTTTGTTTTTTTTCAACTTCCATGTTTATTTCCCCAGCAACCTGTTATATTCATAATACCCCATATTCTCTCTCTATGTTTAAATCAGAGGCCTTGCTCACACCCTTAAAACTAGAAGATGACCCTTTACGACGCACAGGCCGTCTGTTTGGTGGGCTGATCCGTGATGCCCAGCGCCGTTACCCAAAGTACATCAGTGACTTCAAGGATGCACTGAACCCCCAGTGCATGGCTGCTGTCATCTTTATTTATTTTGCTGCTCTTTCTCCCACCATCACATTCGGAGGCCTTCTAGGTCAGTTACACTACCACTTCGTCTGTACTCTTACTGACAGTAACATATTGATAAGATTTTAAATGCAATAAAATAATCGTTTTAAATGCATGTGATCAATTACAGTGTTTTAAAATTGAAATTATTGTTAAGGAAAATATATTTGGTTAGTAAATTGCATTCCAACATCAAAAGAAAACAATATATACATTTATGCAGACATAATAAGTGTATGTCATGGTGTTATTTGTATTTTTATGCTAATTTGAAAAAATACCATTATCATTGTACATTATATATTTTTTGTACTTTGTGGGGGTTTTTTTACGTTAAATGTGAAATTTCCTTCAGAATTTTTCAGTCATTGCCCCATATAAAATACACTGCCTGACCTGGCCACCAAAAAAAAAATGCTGTAATTTTTTTTTATTTTTTTTTTATTGGCTTGTTAAATAAGCAAATACTGAAGAATCTAAGATTGGATCATTATTGCAGTGATTAATGTTTCTGACATGTTATATGTTTGGCAACAATTATTTTAACCCTAACTTTATACAGTCTCTACCATTCTCAATACAAGATCTCAGTCAGAAAATAATTCAATGCTTGATGGCAATAAATGTTGTGATGTTGCATAAAGTTGTCAAAACAATGTCAAGATAAATGCACGCTGTAATCAAAGCTAAAGATGCTCTAATGAAACTTTTTTTTTTTGGCTAGGTAGTGTACATCTCTTCAGATCTTCTCAATTGAATTAGTAAATTGCTTCCAGAACTGACTTAATTACTTTAAATGCCTGCAGCCAGTTATATAACAAAAGGTTATCATGATACACACAATCAGTGACTCTGATCCTGATAAGTATTTTAGATTACTTTTGCTTGAATTCCAGATAGCGTATGTGTCCGACCTTGCTGTTCAGTAATTCAGTTTTGTGTGTACAGGTGAGAAGACTGAAGGGCTCATTGGCGTGTCGGAGCTGATTGTGGCCACATGTATTCAGGGTGATGTGTGGTGTTTTTTTGTTTGTTTTCTTTATTACTTTTTAGTTTTTTTTGTTATTAGTGTTTGTTTTTGTATGTTTTTTTTTTTCCTTTTTGTTGTTTGTGGTTTTCAGTTGTTGTTGTTTTTTTCCGTCTTATGTGTTTTGTTTTGAGCATTTTTGTTTTTCTTTTGCTTTTCTTGTTTTGTCTTGTTGTTTTCTTTTTTGTTATTAGTGTTTATTTTTTGTTATATATTTTGTTTGTCTTTTGTGTATTTTTTTTGTCATTTTATGTAGACATTTTGTTTTGTATGGGTTTTTTTTTTATTTTGCTTTTCCTTGTAATTTTCGCTAGCTTTTTTATATTAAATTTTTTTTTGTGCGTGCACATTTTGTTTTTTTTCAACTTCCATGTTTATTTCCCCAGCAACCTGTTATATTCATAATACCCCATATTCTCTCTCTATGTTTAAATCAGAGGCCTTGCTCACACCCTTAAAACTAGAAGATGACCCTTTACGACGCACAGGCCGTCTGTTTGGTGGGCTGATCCGTGATGCCCAGCGCCGTTACCCAAAGTACATCAGTGACTTCAAGGATGCACTGAACCCCCAGTGCATGGCTGCTGTCATCTTTATTTATTTTGCTGCTCTTTCTCCCACCATCACATTCGGAGGCCTTCTAGGTCAGTTACACTACCGCTTCGTCTGTACTCTTACTGATAGTAACATATTGATAAGATTTTAAATGCAATAAAATAATAATTTTAAATGCATGTGATCAATTACAGTGTTTAAAAATTGAAATTATTGTTAAGGAAAATATATTTGGTTAGTAAATTGCATTCCAACATCAAAAGAAAACAATATATACATGCATGCAGACATAATAAGTGTATGTCATGGTGTTATTTGTATTTTTATGCTAATTTGAAAAAATACCATTATCATTGTATATTATATATTTTTTGTACTTTGTGGGTTTTTTTTTATGTTAAATGTGAAATTTCCTTCTGAATTTTTCAGTCATTGCCCCATATAAAATACACTGCCTGACCTGGCCACCAAAAAAAAATGCTGTACATTTTTATTTATTTATTTGCTTGTTAAATAAGCAAATACTGAAGAATCTAGGATTGGATCATTATTGCAGTGATTAATGTTTCTGACATGTTATATGTTTGGCAACAATTATTTTAACCCTAACTTTATACAGTCTCTACCATTCTCAATACAAGATCTCAGTCAGAAAATAATTCAACGCTTGATGGCAATAAATGTTGTGATGTTGCATAAAGTTGTCAAAACAATGTCAAGATAAATGCACGCTGTAATCAAAGCTAAAGATGCTCTAATGAAACTTTTTTTTTTTGGCTAGGTAGTGTACATCTCTTCAGATCTTCTCAATTGAATTAGTAAATTGCTTCCAGAACTGACTTAATTACTTTAAATGCCTGCAGCCAGTTATATAACAAAAGGTTATCATGATACACACAATCAGTGACTCTGATCCTGATAAGTATTTTAGATTACTTTCCATACAGGTGGTCTGTCTTGCTGTCCTCTGGGCGGTCATGTCTACTGTGGCATCGCTGGCTTTCCCGTTTGTTCTCATCATGACCGTCCCTGTCAAGATGTTTCTTCTGCCACGCATCTTCAGCACTCGTGAGATGCAGTGTGTAAGGATCTTTGCATGCACAAAAAGACACATGCATAGACTTTTTTTTTGAAGAATTAATACTTTTATTGTAAAGACATTTATAATGTTACAAAATGTTACATTTATAGTTCAAATAACTGCTGTTCTTTTGAAGAATCTGACAAATGTATCACGGGTTCCACAAAAAAATTGTACCTGTAACATTGATAATAATAAGAAATGTTTCTTGAGTAGCAAATCAGAATATTAGTATGATTTCTGAAGGATAATGTGACACTGAATACTGGAGTAATCACAGAATCACCGGAATAAATTACATTTTAAAATATATTCAAATAGAAAACAGCTATTTTAAAGTAATAATTCACAATATTCCAGTTTTTACTGTTTTAGTCAAATAAATTCAGTCTTGGTGAGTATAAGAGATATCTTTCAAAAACATTTTAAAATATCTGACCGACCCCAAACTTTTAAACAGTAAAATAAAAAATTACTTCTAAAATTAAATTAAATATATTTAGTTAACATAAAATGTCTTTCTTTTCAAATCTATATGAAACTGCCTTCATAGCCCATTTTATTTCCAAAATGTTATTTTATTTGTATTTATTCTATTTTCATTAATTTTCATATTAATTTTATTTTAAAATGAGGTGACACCACCTCAAAAGCAACGGAGCAAGTCTTCACCCACTTCCACCACTGAATCAAAATATTTTTTTAAAAGGTAATTGCGAATTTTCATGACTTTTTCTCACAATTGTGAGTTTATATCACGCAATTCTGAGAAAAAACTCAACTGCAATATGTAAACTTGCAATTCTAAGAAATAAGGTCAGAATTGCGATATATAAACTTGCAATTCTAAGAAAGTCTTTCTTTCCTCAGAATTGGACTTTATAACTTGCAATCACACGTTGTGATTTGCGTTCATATAATGCAATTCTGAAAAAAAAAATCTGAATATTACAATTTATATAATGCAATTCTGAGGAAAAAAAAGTCAGAATTCCGAGTTTACACCGAGTTGTTTTCTGTTTGAAACGAACAGAAAACAAGATAATTTTTCTTACCCCATTGGCAGATTATTTTGCTTGTTTCAAGCAAAAACTCACTTGAATTCGACTTGTTTTTTCTGAAAACAAGGCAATAATTTTTTCTTGTCTAGAAAATCCTTCTTGATTTAAGAATTTTTTGATATTTTGGCTGGAAACAAGACAAAAGATCTAAGCTAGAAAAGCATTTTTTTGCAGTGTATATAATGCAGTTCTGAGGAGGAAAAAGTCAGAATTGTGAGAGAAAGTGTCGCAATTACTCTGTTTTATTTTTTATTCAGTGGCGGAAATGGGCTTCCATAGTGCACTGCTGTATCATGCACAAAAAGATACATTAAAGGGTTAGTTCACTCAAAAATGAAAATTCTGTCATTAATTACTCACCCTCGTGTTGTTCGAAACCCGTAAGACCTTCGTTCATCTTCGGAACACAATTTAAGATATTTTTGATGAAATCTCCCATAGACAGCAAGGTAACTACCACGTTCAAGGTCCAGAAAAGTACCAAGATGATCGACAAAGTAGTCCGTGTGAGATCAGTGGTTCAACTGTAAAGTTACGAAGCTACGAGAATACTTTTTTGCGCAAAGAAAACAAAAATAACGACTTTATTCCACATTTTCGTCTCTACTGCGTTCTCGTAGCTTCGTAACTTTACAGGTTGAACCACTGATGTCACACGGACTACTTTGTCGATCATCTTGGTACTTTTCTGGACCTTGAACGTGGTAGTTACCTTGCTGTCTATGGGAGGGTCAGAGAGCCCTCAGATTTCATCAAAAACATCTTAAATTGTGTTCAGAAGATGAACGAAGGTCTTAAAGGTTTCGAACAACACGAGGGTGAGTAATTAATGACAGAATTTTTGGGTGAACTAACCCTTTAAGAAAGTAAAGTAGGTCATTTTCAAAATCACGTTGACTGATGCTGTTTGTGTGGCTTTTCTATCTCTCTTCTGTGTCTCAGTTGGACGCTGATAATGCAGAGCCCACTTTTGATGAGAAAGAGGGACACGACGAATACACGGAGATGCACATGCCAGTCTGAGCCTCGACCGCAGCTGTCCGTCTCTCGCCTGTCTTCCTATCAGTCACGCTATTGGCCAATAGGACAGTTGCTTTCGCTAAACCAAATCGCACAGCGAGTCTCGACATGCTGTAGAGGTGAGAATAGTGCATTATGTCCACCCGGCATTTCCAGAGACTCATTTCATTTGTATTAGAGAGCTGCTATCACACCGTTTAGCCTTAAACAAGCGTATTTGTCGCCTATGAGGAAAACGAATGTAGCTTATGGTACGTTCCTAGCACCATTCAGGGCCCATGCAATATTATATGAAGTTTTTAGTGAATATTCATGATCAAGAAAGATTGCCAAGGTCCATTTCATCTGAAATTGTATGTACGTCTGTGCTTTTAATAGTTTTACTGCCTTATTTTCTGATTTATGACCCAGCATACATTAATTCACACAATCGACAGTATTTTTTCTTTTGTTGCCATCTGATCATTACTTTTTTTTTTTCTCTTTCAAAATCCTGTCTAAACAGGTGTTTTCTCTTTTATAATGCCTGAAAGTCACATGAAACCCTAAACTCTCATAATATCTCTAGATGTGCAGTTGCTGTATATTTTATATTGACTGTTACATGCAAATGACTCATGAAGGATGAGGATGAATTTGGTAGTAAATGGTCTTGAGGGATTTTAAGATGTGTTTTAGCTCGGATCGATGCACTAGTGACCTAGTTTGGAGTCCCATTTTAAGAAAAAGAAAAAGTGCGTCCCTACAGATGATCCCAAAATTGTAGTTCATCATAGTTAATTTATTAGAACTAAATCTGTTGACCTGATAAACTGGTATTTTCTACCACATTTCTTGAAGTCTTTCCACATTTAACGTTGAATTAACACTAAAAGCCTGTTCTTTTATTTCAGCACCAGTTCTCAGCAAACACGCAATGTAGATTTTGATTTACTTACTAATTATTTATTTGTTTTATGGGAACCGTATTATTTATGCAAGTTCATGAGGGATTTTGCCACAGAATTCCTGAATAATATCACTAACCTTTTCCCCATCATTCACTAATATCCCACTTTATATTTTTGGATTCCTACAGTCAGTTAGACGGGGAATCTGCACTAATAAGATTCAATTCAGCACACTTTCACTTGGAATATTTTGTGCACACAAACCAATAGGAATAAAAACAACAACTTTAACTATTTGGTTACAGTTATGGTTATGTTTGTTATTTTAGTAGCATTTCACATTTGTTTTTTATCTCTGGAGGCATTGTGCTTTAAACAACAAAAAAAGTGCTTTACTTCTTATTTACATTCCAGATTATGATTCCAGAATCGGATGTGTTAGGATCTTTTAATTATAGGAAGATAGAATGTTAGTTTTATATTGCTTTAGATTATGTATGGGCTAACTAATGACATATGACGAGTGAGCTCACAAATAAATCATGTAGATGTTATTTTTTATTCGACTAGGAAATTTGATGTCATTATTTGAGCGTACAACGTGACTGGATCAAGAATATTTTTATTAAATGTTGTCCGTGTTGTCGTTTAGTACATCAGGACCATCAGCACATTGTACTTTGTCACCGTTGTTTATCTTTGACATTCCCTCTGCCCGTGTTCAGCGACTGGTTCCAGGTTTGCATGACACGTTTAGAACCAGAGAACTCTGGGAAACCTGATCGTAGAGCAGCACTTTGAGGTTGTGTGTGAATGCAGGCAGGAATATGCTTGCGTTCTGTTGCTACAGTGTGGATGCTCAGCAGCACTTGTTTGTAGATGGTATTTATGGATGCTTTGCGGGGTTTAAGACTGAAGGTTAATGCTGGAACATTGTGGTCATTTTAACTTTTGCTGATATTAGTTACAAGTATGACCTGGTGTGTTCAGCAAAGGAGGGTCATTTTTACCATCTGTGTGCATTTTTATGCATATTGTTTTTAACTTGTTTGGTTATTGGATATTTGATTATTAAATGTTCCTCTGTACATAATGCAGTTTTTACAGCAAATTCCAAATATTGCAAATAAAGTTGATTTTTCTATTTAAATCGGATATTCATATCTTTTTTTAATTGTCTTTTTTAACTTCAATTTGAGTTGTAATTTTTTCCACTGATATTCTGTAGCAAAGCTTACTTTAATAAGAATCATTTTGGAAGGATGCATTAAATTGTTAAAAAGTGTCCACAAAGGCATTTAGGTTGCTACAAAAGATTTCTATTTCAAATAATTCCTGATCTTTTGAACTTTGTTTAACATTCTATTCAAAATGTATTGCTGTTTCTACACAAATATTAATCAGCACAACTGTTTTCAACATTGATGATAATAAGAAATGCTTCTTAAGCAACAAATCCGCATATTAAAATGATTTTTTTAAAGAATCATGTGACACTGAAGACTAGAGTAATGATGCTGAAAATTCAGCTTTGCATCATTTTATTTTATTTTAAGATCTATTTTAATATTTTAAAATAGTTATTTTAAATTGTGCTTATTTCTACTGTATTTTTAATCAAATAAAACAGGGAAAAAAGCTCAAACAAACCTCATAACTACAGCTGAATTTCAAGACAATAAATAACTATATTTCTGCTTGCGGCAGTGTTCTTATTTAGTCCCTGATTTGTACACATCATGCCAGGGCTCCACATGAACAGAGACGGTTTTAGAGAATGTTTAACCTGGTTTTTGGGTAAGCAGACATTTGCAGTTGCTGTTAAGTTCAGACGTGTTAAAGATGGCTGTGCTGCTGTGGATCGTGCTGCTCTCTGCTGGAGTCTCACTCAGTCAAGCACAAGAGTCCTTCAGCAAACTCCCAGATATCTACAAGAGAGGAGTGGAGCTGTCTTTACACATGTTCAATGACCATCACAGCATCAAGAACCATTATATCTTCTTTAAATCTATTCATCAGGCAGAAATTGAGGTAAATCCATTCTTCTGGTTCTAAGTTTATTCTCTTTTCTGAAATCTATCTATCTAGTTCGTTTTTATTTTTGTGGTACTAAACAAGATTTCATAGCAGAAGAAATGATAATTGTTTTACTAACACAATCACATGTAGATTTTTGTTGGGTAACGAATCCTGAAGAGCAGGTCAGAAATTCCAAAGACTCCTGCTGCCACAAGTTCATTTTTAGGTCAGAAATCACACATGAAAATCTCCTGGGACCCAACAACAAAGAGGACAGAAGTGAGTTGCAATGTTGTGTGGACATGTGGAAAAGTTCTATACATTTAGATGAAATTCTATCGTCTCTATAGGCAGGATTTGATGTCAAATACATCTACCATAACTTTTATCTGAAAGCCACCGAGTGCAAAAGAGGTACCGAGAACACAGATGCAACCACATGTGGATTCAGGAATGATCGGGTAAGCAAATATGCATTTCAAACAAGCTAGAATATGAATATCAGCTGTTTTCATGTGTTCTTACAGTTGCATGTCAACATAAAATAAGTCATTTTCCAAACACGTATTAAATGGATGCTTTAAAGGACAATATGTATTTTATGTTGCATTTGCAAATGATAGTACAGTTAAATACACTACTATTCAAAAGTTTGGGGTCAGTAAGATTTTTGAAGTCTCATGTCCACCAAGGCTGCATTTATTTGATCCAAAATACAGTAAAAATGGTAATACTGTGAACTACGATTATTATTTAAAATAATAGTAATGTATTTAATAAAGTAATTTATTCCTGTGATGCAAAGCTGTATTTTCAGCATCATTACTCCAGTCTTCAGTGTCACATGATCCTTCAGAAATCATTCTAATATGCTGATTTGCTGCTCAAGAAACATTTCTTCTTGTTATCAATGCTGAAAACAGTTGTGCTGCTTCATATTTTTGTGGAAGCCATGATACATTTTTGCTTTTCAGGAATCTTTGAATCGAACGTTTAAAAGAACAGCATTTATTTGAAATTGAAATCTGTTGAGTGTCTTTACAGTCAGTTAAATGCATCTTTGCTGAATAAAATGTATATTACTCACCCCAAACTTTTCAACTGTAACTGATAAATACTAAGTAAATAGCTGAAATTAGAAAGTATTTTTGCTGCTGATGCCATTTACACTATCATGCAAAGTATTACTAGGTTTAATACTGACAATATACTTACATTATATTGATGGAAATATTAAGATCTACAGTATAAAGTGGCAACACCACAGTGCTCAAAATTAAATGTGGATTAATTTCCTTATACTTACTGGCTTACTTTCCATATTCCTCCAGCCTGTTGTTGACTGTGTGATCTGCTACAAAATCTCTGCAGGAGAAATTAATGATAAGCCTAAACCTTATTTAAACTGTATGCATCGACGATTGCTTTCAAAGGTATTCCCTCTTCATATTCTTCATCTTGATGATGGATTCTCATTGCCTTACCTACATAATTGCCATTACAATATAATAGAATATTTTGCCCAATATATTTAAAGGAATAGCTCATCCAAAACTAAAAAAATGTGCTGAAAATGTGCTCACCCTCAGGCCATTCAGTATTTAGATGAGTTTGTTTCCTCATCAGAACAGATTTGGAGAAATGTAGCATTACATCACTTGCTCACCAATGGATCCTCTGTAGTGAATGGGTGCCGTCAGAATGAGAGCCTAAACAGTTGATAAAAACATCCCAATAATTGACAAGTAATCCATACCACTCCATCAATTAACATCTTTTGAAGTGAAAAGCTGTGTTTTGTAATAAACAATTGCATCATTAAGGTGTTTTTTGACCTCAAATAGGAGTCATGTGGACTACTTGTGGATTATTGTGATGTTTTTATCAGCTGTTTGGACTCTCATTCTGACGGCACCCATTCACTGCAGAGCATCCATTGGTGAGCAAGTGCTGTAATGCTAAATTTCTCCAAATCTGTTCTGATGAAGAAACAAACTCATCTACATATTGGATTGCCCGAGGAAGAGTTACTAGTATTTTCAACTAAATTAATTTCTGGGTGAAAGATTACAAGATGTACAAAGCTTGAGCTGTGTGTAGAAGTGACTCTTGCTGTCAGCATAATCTTTGTGTTCTTGTTTGAACACAAGGAAAGCAAGAGAGAGAGAGAGATTGGCTGTTTCCGTGTGGGTTTTGGCCATCTGACCCCGACTCCTGTGGCATTCACCGGATCCTAGAGAACAGTTGGAGGAGAAACGTCGTTTGAAATCTGATGTTCTGGAATCTACTGGCTTCACGATCTCAAACACAGCATGTTTTAGCATGTCTGTTCTTCGCCAAATCAATTCTTGCATCACATTTATCTGATTGTCAAGAACTAAAGAGAGCATTGCACAGTTGGGGTCATATTTTATATATTAAATCAACAGGGAATGTGTTGCATAAGAGTTCAATGTTTGCCCTGGGAATGGACAGCTATTTTCCACAAAACAAAGCAGAGTTCT